TTTCTCTGGCATTCCATGTTGGTCTAATCAAGACTTTTCAGAATTTTACTGTAGTTTGGGGGCTTTCCACCACACCCTTCTCCCTTCTGTCTCTCCCTCCCCAGTTCTCAGATCTGTGTCATGGTCTGAGGCTCTCTCTAAGAATTCCTTTCTCCTACCCCCTCGACTTTCATAAATTTTACTCACAGTAAATCTCTTGCCTTTCTGTCTTGGCATCTGCTTCCTGGAAACTCAAACTGACATAGTGAGTTTGGGTAAGTCTCTTAATTCTTCCCTCATCTTAAAAGAAGTGGTAATGTGGGGGGGTAGGTAGAGGTACATCATTATTTTCAGGGACAAATTAAAATTTTTATAGTTTTCTTAAAAAGGGAAATGGGAGGAATAATTAGAAAATTATTTTTTTTTCTTCAGGTTGAAAACAAACAAGTTTCTTGTTTACCTAATAAAATATATGCTTAGTTATCAAGTCTTTATGTCTCATAAATTAAGGGAGCAACATCGTAAAACTCATCACAACCTTCCAAAAAGTAATAGCTTTTATCAATCCTAAAAGCAAAATTTAAACAGAAGCTTAAATTGCAAACAGATGCTAGCTAAAAACTACAACAAACACACAGAGCTAGAATGTGATTATTACTCAACAAAGCCACAGTACTTTGCCTATGCACCATGTGTAAGTGGTAATCTGTGCGGGCTTTAAGTGATATTGAACAATTTCTGTGTCTCCAACATGTGTGGACATGATCTTTCATCAAAGGTGACGTACAATATTCCAATCAGATAAATTTTATCCTGGTCATATAATTTTTTTTCTGCTCCAGGGCATGTTACCAAAGAAAGCAAATTACAGCAAACTTGATCTTTGTTTACTAGAGAGCAGCCAGAACATTATGAATGCTCAATTAATTTTAGACTGTATTAGTGCATTTTAAAGCGGATTTATGGTATTAAAAAACATGACACACCCGATTCAGAGGCAGTTCTTTTTCACTAATGGAAAATTTTTTGGCAGTTGTTCTGTTTCCATGGATTTATCATTCTAATAGATCCTGAAAATAAAACCCAGTCTTTGCCAAAATCTCATTTATGCTTTATATCAACAACATGCCCTTTATCCCTGCATATGCATTTGGGAAATAGAGAAACAGCCCCAATTAGTTAAAAATACACTAATTAGAACTCTAAAGAACTGATTTTGGGAAGAGATGTGTGGGAGCTGACACCCAACATACTTTATATTTCTGAAAAAGAGAAAATTGCACAAAATCTTGAGGAATTAAAAAATGAAGCATTTTTCAGAATACATTTGAAAGTGTATGGTTCAAATTTAATCACATAGGAAACTTTAATCAACAAGAAAGATACAATCCAAGACATTCTGCTCATAGAAACAAGTAGATTACACACGTAATTCTTTAATTGTGGAACCTGAGATGAAAGGACCAGTAGGTTGCAAGTGTTAAGCCCCAGTTAATTAGAAAAGCAAATCAACAACTTGAACCCTCTTGCTTAAACAAGTGGCCTTTAATTTTAGCTGAGTATTAGCATGGTTGGAGGAGCTTTCCCAATTCTCAACACCCAGGTCCTACACCCACCTAATTAAATAAGAATTACTGATACTTTAAAAAAAATATCTACTGGTAAGTCTAATGTGCTGCTGATTTGGATCTAAAATATCTCTCAGTAGGTACTTTTGAAGGTTTGGTCCCCAGTGAAGTGATGTTTAGAGCTGGGGCTTTGGGGAATTAATTGAATCTTAAGAGCTCAGATTCCACAGATGGATTAATCTTTTGATAAAGATTATTGGATGGACTATTGGGAGGAGGTGGGTGGGACTTAGTTGGGAGTCAAGCACCCAGGGACTTAAAACTCTAAAACCATCAGTCAAAACAAATCTTTTCCTCTTTTAGGTTTATTTTTTCAGGTACATTGTCACAGTAATGGAAAGCTTACACGGCTGTCAAGGTTGAGATCTACCATCTTGGATACTAAAGTTAAGTTTTAAACCAGATTCACTGAAGTTACAAGTTAAATCTATACTGCTGGATGGAAGCACATGTACCAAATCACTCAATTTTACCAGAGTATTTAATAAAGAATGAAATCCAAATGCCTGGTTAACATTATATCTGATAGCCTTTCAGTCCTGGGAGAGGCCATGTAACCCAGTTCTTGCACTGAAATAGGACTGCTCTGGGAGGACTACAGAGCCCACCCGGAGAGCAGAAAGTGGATTTCATTCTTTTCCCATTCTCATAGCTCTGAACTCTGCTACATATCCTGAAATTGAGGTCTACTTCTGGCCTTCAGAAAGCAACAAATATGAGAATGACAAGTCAGCATGTTGACAGTGGTGGTTGGACATAGAAATCCTGGATCTTTGATAACATTATAGACTCACTGAAATCAGCTATTCTGAGAACTTTTGTTGTGTGAAGAAAATTAAGGCGCAAGTTTGTATTAGCTGAACTTTCTATTATTTGCAGCAGAGAGTATTTCTAGTGGATATGCCTTGGCTCCTTCTTAAGCTATGCATCCCTCAACATTTGCTAGTGGTGCACGCCTGTCATCCCAGAACTCTAGGAGGCTGAGGCAGGTGTTCAAGTTTGAGTCCAACCTGGGCAACTTAGTGACTTAGAGAGACTCTGCATCGAAGTAAAAAATAAGAAAGAAAAGAGGCTAGAAATAAAGTTCAGTGTGAAGGCCCTGGGTTCATTATCTAGTACCAAATAAAATTACCATTAGTTAAGAACTTTATAGAAATTATTTCTCTTGAGCCACGTAGCAATTCACCCATATAAGTTGTATTATTCTCATTTTATATATGCAGAAATTGAGGCCCATGCCAGTTAACTATGATGACTATCACTACACAAAACTTGGATTTTAAGGCCAAATTTATTTGATTTATTGGATTCCAACGTCATTTTTTAAGTGGGACACCTATGCTACTGTTGCCTGCTAATACAATTGCTTTAATTAAAGTTTATGCTGTTTCATTCAGGAAGAGCATCTTATTCTTGTAGCAATATGCATCATGTTGCACACTCAGATCACTAAATATCTAAAGAATTAATGGGTTCACTGGGTTAAAGGCAAAATTACACGATATATCTTTTTTATGCTATTCTGTAAAACCATGAGATATTTTCTATTCCAAATAAATGACACCTAAATCAATCTACTTTTTGAAAGCACAGAAAACTTGATAAAAACATTATTAATGATAATCTAGGGCTATAGTGTACGAGAATTTTGCCTTTCATTTGAAAAGGCAAATGACTAGTAGGCATTTGGTGTTTATATTTAAGGCAACTACTTGGACATGTCTTCCACCATATGGAGTGCTGCTACCTGTACAGTTGAACACAGAAAGACAGCCCTCCAGGGATTGTGTGGTACAGTGTAGTTTACGATTTATTATTTTTGGTCAGAATTTGTTAGGGGTTTCAGGTGTCTAATATGCATACTACTATACGACTTGCCCAATAAGCACTGTCGATGGGGCTCCTGCAAATTCTTGTTCTGTATTACCTTTCCTTGATCATCCACCCAAGAGCTAATGCATTAGTGGAAGCAGTCTTGAGCCAGTTGTATTGCATTTAGAGTTAGGCCCGTGGGAACAAAGCTAATGTCCCCCACCCCTTTTTTTTTTTTTTTCACAAAACGAGTGGGGGGGGGGACGCTTACTTCAAAACTGTTCTGATGAGATTTAAATGAACTAAAATTTAAACTCTTGTCACAATTAAGGTAGACAACAAGCATTTATGAAACCTCTGTGCCGAGTAGAGGGATAGTTGCATGGGAGGTAAAGATGAGAAACATGCATCCTTAAGAAACATGCAATCTAGTTACAGCAGTGCCCGGCTGAATGCTTCCAATGGAAACAAAACGTGAGATGGAAGATAGTAAAATCCTAAGCTCTACACATCGGAGATCATGCCTCATTTTTTTCAGCTTTCCAGATGTAGTGGGCTGAATGGCTCCCAAAGATATATCCATGTCATTACCCTCTCGAACCTGCAAAAGTAACTTTATTTGGAAAATCTTTGCAGATTCAGTCGAGTTAAGGACCTTCAAATGAGATCATCCTGGAGTATTCCGGTGAACTTTAACACCAATGACAAGCATTCTTACCACAGACAGAAACACGAGATGGCTAACTGCAGACGGAGGTAGCAAATGGAGTCACGCAAGCCAAGCAACGCCTGCAACCACCAGAAGCTGGAAGAGGCGAGGGTTCAGCTCCAGCGCTTTCAAAAACTACCTGGCCCTGGCAACAGCTTGATTTCAGATTTCTAGCCACCAAGTGTTCAAGCACAAAATTCTGCTGTTTGACTTGACGAAGTTTGTGCTAGTTTCTTCTTCTGTGAAATGGGGAATATCTCAACTATGTCTCATAAATAGAAAACGGGGTAATTGCAGTATCAGGCACAAGTATACATTAAAAATGGCAAACATTTATTGAGAACTTTTCTTGATCATTCATGTGCTAAGCGCTTTGCATGTATGACCTACCACTAGTGTATAGATCGGGGAACGAAGCATCAAGGAAAGACAGTAATTTGTCTAGCGCATACAGCTAGAGAACGAAAAACTAAGGTTTACAATTCTAACCTAGTTCTGAAATAGCTCTTTCCTCTTCCAGGCTACACTGCTCAGAAAATACGCAATGAACACACTCTAAACAGATTAGTTATTGTAATAATATTTCAGGCTACAGAATTAACCCTCTCTTTAGCTGTCAGCCGGGGTTCTCTTCCACCAACCTATCAACCCTTTGGAGAGGGCTCTTCCCCGGCACGGAAGCGACGGGGTTAAAGCCGTCACTTTCCATCGCCACCGACGCGTCCTACGCCTGACGGTTCCTCTCAAGGGCCAAAATTCGCGTAGCGCAGCCCTCGGGCCGCCATAAAGCTACGACAGAAGCGGACCAATAGAAACGCCGAAAATCCGTGTTTCCCGATAAACTCCTCCCCTTAACCCCAGCAGCGCGGCGGAAGAATACAAAAAGTGGATTGTGGGTGGCTGGCGAAGAGGAAGCGGAAGCGCCGCTCCGGAATCTGTCGCCGGCGTCCGCCGCGGGCCCACGTGTGCGGTGAGTGCGGCCGCTCCGCGATCACTCCCTGGAAGGGTTCCTCACCGGCAGGCACCGGAGTCGGGATGGTCTCTGGGGGAGGTGGCGAGGCCTGAGGTTTCTTCTGTGGCCTTTTTTTGTAGGCTGGGGAGTTTGAAAATTGACGGAAGCCTGGCAAAGAGCGGAGCTACGATCTCTCTTCCGACCACCTGGCTCTGAGTGTTGAGTTAGATTGAAGCGCCTTTGCTGTAGGATCCGGACCTGAGCTAGGTCGGGCGAGTCTGCCCGTCCTGTGTTTGACAGATCCACTCTCCATCCGGTCAGTGCTGGGTGCTGAGGTTGCATCCCTAACTTGCGTTGCTGGTTGTAAGCGCTGAGAAGAAAACGAACTCGGTACTGCGTTGGACGATAGGGAAAAAGACTTTAAACAGAAGCAAGAAAGGCTAAGTCCCTGGGGTAGGAGCTGGCAGTACCGCAGAGCAAAGTAAAGTTAGAAGAAAGGATGGGATGAGCTTTTGTAGGACTTTGGAGGCCATATTGTAGTTTTTCTTTGTATGCAGTAGGAAACTTTGATATTATTTTCAGGTATAGAAGACGTTGTGTGGTTATAAACAAAGAGTGATCGTGACAGACCCTGTTTCTCTTTAGAAAATGTATTTAATTTGGAAATTCAGTAAAGAAACTCTTGATGGCTTGCATTAGAGGTCTTGGTAGTGGAGACAAATTGGAAAGTTAGTTATTAAGGAGATTTTAGGAAAACTTGCCAATGGATTAAATTTGACGTATAAAGGAGAAGAAAATGTCAAGAGTAATAATTCAGGTTTCTTGCTTGAGCAGTGAAGTAAATAACGTTCCACTGGCTGACGTGGGGAAGAACTGGGCAGGAAAACAGATGGACATTGTTTGAGGGTGGTTTTCAGTGGAAAATAGTGACTTGTGTAGAACATACGCGGGTGGAAGGTGCCAGTTAGATGTATAATCAGGAGTGTTAGGGATTCACGGGTCTGGAACCCAAGGGAAAGTTTTTAATGGAGAAATAATTTGAGAGGCCTCAGCATAGAAAGCCAGGGGACTAGATGAGGTCACCTGGAGAGATACATAGAGAAGGGAGGTTCACTAGGACAAAAGACTTAAGGACCCTAGCATGTAGAAGTTGCACACTGTTTACTCCTCTCCAGTCACATTGCCAGCCCTGCTGAGCGGAATGGAAGGCCATTCATATGATCAAAAATACAGGGAGTGTTTAATTTTTTAAGACACTGCAGTAAAATACCGTTGCAATTAACCTCCTTAAAATACTCCTCCTCATTTCAAAAACATCTATCCCGATGTTCTTACCACTTTTGAAGTAATTCTGAGTCTTCTTTCGTGAATATCTTTAGTTTTTGCGCAGTTGTGGCTGTCTTGATGTCCTGAATTGCTTAAAAAATATTTCCTTTTCATGGTCATTTTGACTCTGGGGAAGAATCAGAAGTCACAGTGCCGGGTCTGGTGAATAATGTGGATGAGGCACACCATCATGTTTTTCCAGGCCCGCCTTTCTGTTGGATGGTATGCAGCCGCAGCATTCACCATATTTTTCATCATACCTCCTAAAGACATGAAAGAGGACTTCCAGAACGGCTTCAGAAAGTGGCAAGAATGATGGGATGAGTGTGGTTGAGCTGAGGGGGACTATCTTGAGAGGGCTTCACAGCAATATTGTCTTATACTGTAATTTTTAAAAATTCAAACCTTCATTGTATATTTTGATCATACTTTGCGTGTCCTTCTCTGGGAAGCCTTTAATATTTCCCTTCATCAGGTAGAGTCCAGCTCTCAGCCAGCTTCCTTGGCACTTTGCATATATTTCTTTCGTAACAATTCCACTGTTTTAATGTTCTGCTTAGAGCATATCTTAAATTTTTTTTCCATTTTTTTTCAATCTGCCTGGCACATGATTTTTAGGTATTCAATAGATTTTGGTAGGGAGTGATAGAGAACCATCCATGAACCTTAAGCCTACAGTGTTAAATTTTGAAAAGTTTGCTAAAAATCTGCTGTTGGAGATTTTTAAAAAGGAAAACAACATGGGAAAGAGGGGAAGACACATGGAAGGATGTCAAATAAGCTGGATTTGAAGGATGGATAGGAATTTTGTTGATGGAATTGTGTTTTTTGTTTTTTAAGTTTGGGGCCTGAAAAAAAATACTAAGGGAGGAAGTTTGGCTCCTGTGTGGTGTTTGTGAGTTGGGTAAATTAGGACCAAATTTTGGATGGCTATGAATGCCAATCTGAATTTCAACTTTTCTCCTGTACCCTATGGGAGAGTTGAAGCAATTGGAGCATGGAAATGGCATACTGACTAAATAAGATGGAAAAGTTTAGAAGGCACAGGGTAGAGTTCATGTCAGTGTTGTGTACCTCTTGACGTGATGCTGTGAGAAGAGGACTTGGCTATGGCATTCTTTGGAAAAATATGCATAACCTCAGTCAGTCATGAGAGAGCATCAGTCAAATCCACATACACAGGAGACATGACAGCTAAATTCAGTGTCTCTTGGAACAGAATGAGGGCATTAGTGGGAAACCTGTTGAAATCCAAATAAATGGTTCGTAGTAGTATCTTATGAATGTTAGTTTCTTAGTTTATATCATGGTAAATTGTTGACATTGGGGGAGTTGGGAAAAGGTGTAAGGGAGCTTTGTACATCCTTTTAATGCTTCTATAAAACTAAATTTATTTCAAAATAACATTTAAAGCAAATATACAGAGAAAACATGTAAATAAATGGATTATTACTAAACACTGGTGTAGCTAGGTTCAGGAAATCTTATACACTTTTTAGCCTTTGCTTGGCAGTCTGTAGTTAACATTAGTAAGTTGAGAAATTTGCAAAACCTGTCCTTGTTGGTTGATTATTGTCTTTTAACTTACTGTTTCCCAAATATATTTCAACCCAGAATGCTTCTCTCTTCCCTTCTGCCCCTCATCCCCAGTACTAAGGGTTGAACCAAGGGCCTTAATGTGTGCTGCTAGGCCAGCAGTGTACCACTGAGCTATATCTCTAGGCCCCCTTTTTAAATTGTTTTTTTGAGTCTCCTGAAGTTGTCCAAGCTGCTGACTTCCCAAGTAGCTGAAATTACAAATGTATATCACCACACCTATCCTTCTTTTTCTTATACCTTATACCTTTAGTATTCTCAGAAATTAGTTCTGGAATGGAAAATTCTAATGTAGAAACACACAATCTAGAAATGCTGTCTAGGAACTCCTCTAACATCTGCTCTTTAAGGTCAACTTTAAAAATGAAATTAACATAACAACTTTGAAATTGGAGAAATGAGACTGATAACTTTTGCCATTGAGCCTGTCCTTTTTACAAGAGCCTTGGGTAGGCGAGGGGTTATCTGATACTCATTTTGTGCGTATGGGGTCTCTCTACACTACAAATGACCATTCAGGCAAGTTTCTCTACTAAAATATTTCAACATGATTTATTTTGGAGTTCACTACAAGTTACTTGGTGCTTCTTTTATACAAACAAATAAAACATCGGACAGAAAATTTTGTTTTAGTTATATTGCATTACATAGGGATCTCCCAGATAATCCTTTTCTTTGTTTCATTGAATTTTAGTGTGTAGTAAGTGTAACCTATTGTTTGTTCCTGGCTTTTTGGGATTGAGACCAAGAGCTCAAATGGTAACATTGACAATCACTCATTGCTGCATCTTCTTGAGTTACAAACATGACCATGGATGCCTGTACTTAATAATGGTTGGTTTTTAGGCAGGACTGTTGCTGGACTGTTGCTGAAGTGTTGCCTCGTGATGAATCACACACTAGCCAGGCCAGTGCATGTTCTTAGCTTTTGTGTTGAAATCTTTTTCATCTCACGGTTTTGGAGTCACGCAGCAGTGTTTACATAATTGCTGCACCTATATGGATGCCATGTTGTACGTGGGCACTGTGTACTTTCTCAACGCAAGGCCTGAATGTGCTAGTGACGACCGAATGCCTCTTACTGGATGAGGGACTGTTCAGTGATACTTCTTGGTTTGTTTTTGTTTTCCAGAGTTGCTATGATGGAAGTCAAAGGGAAAAGAAAGCTCACAGGAAGGAGTACAAAGGCTTCACACGAAAGAAACAAATTTCAGAAAAATGGCGGTAAGATATACATACAAAAACTTGTTTCCCATGTGGTAGTTTTTACCCTTATAACTAAGGGGTGGCAGGATACTTAGCAGATTCCAATCTGCATTCCAGAGCTAGGATTAGGATTAAACAGTAGGAAAAAGTAGTTGTTACTGTTTCTGAGTTAATTTGTTTCTCATAAAAGTTAGATATTTAAGAAATTGTTAGAATGAGCCAGGTGAAGTGGCATGTGCCTGTAATTTCACCTACTCTGAGGCTGAGGCAGGAAGATTTCAAGATGGAGACCAGTCTGGCCAGTTTAGTAAGACTTTGTCTCAAAGTAAATAAAAAAGGCTGAAGATGTAGAAAAAAGGAAGGAAAAAAAAAAAAGAGAAAGGTAGTTAAACAGCCAGAGTAATGGAGGAATGCAGGAGTGTTCCACTTGTTAAAGATCCCTTAGCTCAGATATTAATGTTTTTGTCTAATTTTATTTGTACTCATCCATTATATCTTTTATTAGTGTTTGATGAATTGGGGCTGGCTAATACATACCACTGATGAACTGAATACTTTATACTTTGTGATTTTGGAATCATAATATCTTCATTATGCCATCAGGTGTCAGTATTGTGAAACAGAAAAGCCAAGGACTATATAAATAACTAACGTTTCCTAAGGAATCTATTTTTTCTTTATAAGAGTGTTAAGGCCTCTTTGTTACTATTTCCATTTCATTCGTTAGATACTTGTGCTGCAGGCTTTGTTGACCAAGGTTTCCATCAAATAAACACAGGCTTTAACATTTTTTCTGAAAACTAGAAATTTTGAGAAAGTAGCATTTTCATTTTAGAGTGTTCATTTTATTCTGAGATTATATTACAGAACTGTTGAAAATTATACATAAAAAATAATGCTATGATCATGATATTAATACAAAGGTATATAAATACTGTAATAGATCATCTCTACCATGTGCTTAAAAAACAGAAATATCCTAAACTGACAAGTTGTTATCTGGGGGTGGTAGAATTCTAAGTATTATTATCCATTTCTCTACGTTCTTGGTTTTATATCATGAACCTATACTTATTTGATAATGTGTGAAGATTTTTTATTTTTATTTTTATTTTTTGGTACTGGGAATTGAACTCATGACCTTGCGCTTGCCAGGCAGATGCTTGTGCCGCTGAGCTGTATCCCCAACCCCATGAGAAGATTTTTTAGATAAGTGTATATTTGAAATTAAGATGAAGTATGTCCTATTAAAGCCTGTGCAGTTCTGTGTAACATACAGAGAACTATACGAAAAAGATCTAGGCCCATTATCATTGAACTAATAATTTATTTGTCACTAGATTCTAGTTCTTCAAAGACATTCCCCAAGAAAGTTGTCAAGGAGGGAGGACCTAAAGTTACGTCTAAGAAGTTTGAGAAAAGTGCCATGAAACCTGGGAAAAAGGGTGTGAAACAGTTCAAGAACAAGCAACAAGGGGACAAAGGACTGAAGAGCAAATTCCAGCAAGCAAATAAATTCAACAAGAAGAGAAAATTCCAGCCAGACGGTAAAAGTGATGGTAAGGCACTGATTCCTAGCACTATCTTTGCAGAGCCGTTTTCCTGCTTGAGTTCGTGGCTGAGCCATTACGCACAGGGCTGTGGGTATGCATGGAGACCGCCCTTTCCTGCTCCTTGACAGGAGGCGAGTTTGGATGACAGGAGGGAGAGGCAGATGGACCTCAAAAGTACAGCATCTTTCCTCGTCAAAATTTCTCTCCAGTGCTTAGAGCTCTTCAACCCAAAGCTTTAGAGTTAAGCTAAATTACAATGGCTTTTTATGACAAAGCCTCAATAAAACATTCTTCCTGTAGGCTAAAATTTAATTCATCTTCATTCATTGAACAGATGTTTGAGTTATTTTGTTCATTGTGAGAGGATATAGAGCATATATATCAACTAATCGTAGAATTTGGCCCTAAAAAAACCAATGTGTCCCATGGATGAAAGATGCCTTAATGGCCAAGAGATTTATGGACTCTACCTTCATAGAGATTAGACCATTGTAATGTATTCAGCCCATTGGATGGCTCTGATCCACTAGCAATTCCAAAGATGTAGTGCACACATGACAGATTTGATTTTAATTGCTCACCAATTGGAAGTGTTGACAAGGCTTTTGTCCTGGAAACAAACTACCAATCTCTTAATCACAGTGTTCACAGGATCCAAGTCCCTTGCTGGTTTTAAATAAGCGATTTTTTAGGTTAAATGTACTGAAACAAATATACCGCTCTCCCATTATGAATATTAGTCTGGTGTCTTTCATTCTGTCTCTCTAGTACTGCCCTTCGCTGCCAGCTGAGACCACAGCCACACGGCCTTCTCGTCCAGGGCCTGAGCCCTGGACGTGGTTCTTTGCTGTGCCTAAAAGCTGCTTACAAGAGGGAAAGCACCCTCTTTCCCACTCCATCTCCCGTCTTCTCTTATTTTTCCCTTTCTCTTCATCTTTCCCATCCTTAGCAGTTTCTCCTCCAGCTTCTTCTGAGTTCCTACATCTTCCTTTGCCTGCTGGAGTTTTTGGCATCAGCATATAAAGCACACATATTCATCCTAGCATTAAGGTCCTGGCATGCTATGGCTCTGGTTTCTTTTTGTGATGGGAGTTCCCTTCCTGACATCTTAAAACGGAGCTCTTGCTTTTATTCTGTTATATTTTTGTATGAATAACAAGATATTGCTATTAGACATTTCCAAAATTGATATAGTTACTGCAGCCTAATTGGAATTGGAATATATACCAACCCAGCATGGTATATATCAAGGCTGCCCAAGTATTCAGGGAATTAAATTAACTCTGGATCAGTTTCTATTCTCTGCAATGTAGCATGTGATCCCCTACTATTAGTATAGTAAGAACCCCCTCTATTTCTATATTCCTCTGTATTACCAGGCAGGAAATAAGCAACAATAAGGAGAGTAACTAAATATGTTGTACTTACAGTGCTGTGTGTAGCCATTTAAAATTATGTTCTTGAGGAATACTAAGTTTCGTTTGAAAATGCTAACAGTATGATGTTCAGTGAAGATAGGAAGGTTCTTAATTCTTAAAGATCAGTAATGAATGTGTGTGGGGGGAAGCAAGAAAATAATCAGTGTTTATGTGTAGGTTTAATGTGGAGGGAAATTTTACTTTTGTATTTTCCAAATTTTTAAAACAAGTATATTTTGTTATCAGAAAAGGGGAGAAACTTAGGAATAAGTAACTCCTAAAGGCTTTCTGTAGGGTATTTAGTAAATAATATTTGTTGTATAAGTTGTTCTTCATTTGACCTCATTACATTTTTTGTTCCAATTGGTAAGATACTCAAATTTCAAAGACAAAAGCCAGTAATACATAGATACTTGACTTTTTAAAAATTACATCACAATAGAAAATTTAGAAATTTTGATTGTGCATTGTCATGAGTAAAAGGCAACAGAAATTTACCTTCGGGTTTGGATCCCAACTCTGCCACTGTGGTTGTGGCCTCAGCAGCCCTGTGCCTTTGTTTCCCCAGTCTTTTTGTCTTACTCAACACTCTACTAAGAATCATTTAAAAGCTGCTAAATGAATGATTGGTTTTTACCAAATGTAAAGTATACAAACTGCTCAGAAAATGCGGCAGAGTATAACTTCATAAAGATGTTTTCCCCTTTTAGCTGAGCCGTGGTTCTGATTAGTGGTTACTCTTTTTACTTAATTCCTCTTGTTTGTTTGTAGCCCTCAGAATGTTAATGTTATTGAAACTAATTTCTGTAATAACTAGAATCAGCACCCAAGAAACCCAAATGGGATGACTTCAAGAAGAAGAAGAAAGAACTAAAGCAGAGCAGGCAGCTCAGTGACAAAACCAACTATGACATTGTTGTTCGAGCAAAACAGATTTGGGAGATCTTAAGAAGGTAATGCTACCAGGGGCATCTGGATTGGGCACTTTAAGACGGTGGAGCAGTAACGGTGCGCCCTGTAAATAGATGTAGTAAAGTAAATGACATAGCACTTGAGTTTTAGGGAGTGTGTCTAACCCTTCAGTGGACGTGTCAGTGTTTAGATGTCTGCCCATTGCTGAAATGTGTGGAATCATTAGGATCACATCAGATCTATTTATGGAAATGTTGGAGAGTCAAATGGACTTGACGTCCTTCTTGAGAGATTTCTGAGAAAATGATGGACAATTTCTTCTCTGATAGGTTTTGAGGTACTTAAGTATTTGGTATCTTTGACTTGTTTTATTATTTTCTTTTCCTGTGATGTTCTAGCTGTTAAGATTTAGATTGATGCATAAAATTATACCTTCTGAGATGGGTTTCTGCCTCTGAGAAAATTACTTCTGTCTGACTGCTCTGGAATAGCAATTTTAATGTCAGAGGTTTGCTGCCTTCGGAAAGAAAATCATGCTGAACTCGGTGAACATATATTGGTACAGTGTTTAGTTTTGTATGATCAAAATAACTTCTTTACTTACATTATGTTTCCTTCCTCTTATGTAGAAAAGATTGTGACAAAGAAAAAAGAGTGAAGTTGATGAGTGATTTGCAGAAGCTGATTCAAGGGAAAATTAAAACTGTAAGTAGAGTAAGCCTGTTCGTCATTGCAGTTTTAAATATCTGAAGTTGCCTCACTCTTAGGAAATGGTAGTTGGGCATGCGCAACAAGGGAACTTGTTATTGTTTGCAGTGTAGATGGCAAGAAATTTCAAATGTCTTTCATAATGCTGATTTAATACAGTTTACAGAGTCCTTATCTGAAATCTTAGGTCCAGAAATGTTTTGGACTTTGGCTTTTTCAGATTAGGAGATATATATATATATATATATATAATTTTTTTAAAAAACAGGTATCTTGGGGATGGGGCCCAAGTTTCAACTCAAAATTCATTTATGTTCCATAGACACTTTGTACGTGTAGCCTGGCGGTACCTTTATATATTTTTAATGTGCCCACATTTTTGTTCCACTCTCCTTCTGTGTGCTGAGGATCAAACCCAGGGGCTCGTGCGTGTGGCCGTACCACTGAGCCCCGACTTCCGTCCTTGCTGCGCTTTGCCTGCCTGTTACCTGTGACTCATGGTCTGTCACACGAGGGTGGGCATGGGGTCTCCCCTTGTCTCCATGTTGGCCTTCTGAATTCTGGAGCGTTCTTGTCTCTCACATTTGGGATCCTCACGCTGTACTGTGGGACTTTGCTGTTGGAGAGCTGGGAAAGGACTGGTTGATTCTGTCATGTTTAAACAGTTTCAAATAAGTCAGTATTTTCTTAAAAGTTATCTTGAGAAGTTTATGAGTTCAAATTCAAGTTTGAATTGCTTGTTCTGAACTCTGTAATTTTTTTTTTTCTTTTTTTGGTTTTTCTCCGGTACCGGGAACCAAACTCACGACCTTACGCTTGCCAGGCAGGCGCTTTTGCTGCTGAGCTAAATCCCCAGCCCTGAACTCTGTAATTTAGTATGTTGTAAATTGTCAATTCTATGTATGTGTGATACAGATATTGCCTCTTTTATTTTTCTTTTTTACAGGCATAGTAGAAAGGTCTTTAAAGTATAATAGATTTGAGAATTTTAATCCTATTTTATAGTAAACTTCCCCTGGCTCTTTCTTGTGCTTTTGGATAAATACATGGTAACTGTTTACTTATAATAGATTCCAGTCATTTTAGGGACACTGGAGGGGTAGGATGCTGCATTAGAGTTAAAAGAACGTGTTGAAATAGTCCCCAGCTATTTGTTTCTTATAAATTCAGCAAGCTTTTTTAGACTAGAAAAGCCCTTCATCCTAGCAAGAGTCTGTTATGCTCAGTTTATAAATATTTCACCCTTAAAATCTTGTCAAGCCATCATGGTGGCCTGTGCTTGTTATCCCAGTACTGGGGAGGCTGAGACAGGAGGATTGCTGTGGGTTTGAGGCCAGCCTGGGCTACATAGTGAGTTCAAGGCCAGCCTAGGCTACGTAGACTAGGCGTCTCAAAAAAAAAAAATCTTTTATCAGCTCTTAAGTCCAGCATGACTATGAACCTAGGAATTTGTTGTTAAAATTCCTACTGTGCTGATTAAGCCATGTGAACCGTTAGATAGCCTATGTTGATTACTTGCTGTGGAAGAATCGTGCTAACCATGCATTGCTTCATTTAAGTAATGTCATCCTTTTTGTATATTTGATACAGCTGAGACTCAGAAGAGTTAAGTTTATTATTCCTCAGTCATGGCAAGTTTATTGACTTCTCATGTAACCTTACTCTTTTCAACTATAAAATGGTAACAACAGATCACTTACAGTTGCTTTGGGATGTAAATAAGAAAACAATTTCTGAAACACAAACATTGGTCATACAGGAGATTGCATAGTACATACGTATCGTAATTAGCCTTACTTTTTAGAAATGTTTATAAAATATGGGTAAAAATTTGCACTTAAAAATCAGAAATCTTTGACTTTGGAGGTATAACTTCACTTTCTGGTTTTGGGGGATTAAAAAATGAGAGTGACAAAATGAACAATAAACAGATTTGAAGCCTCCTGCGACTGCAGCACAGTAAGAACGACGTTACATGACTAGTGATTTGTGGACGTTGCTATTGAGCAGGTGTGTCCGACCTGTGGTCTTTCATTTTTTTGTCCTCTTTTTAGTGTTAAAATAAAAATTGATATAAAGGAACTTTCATTACTTATACACATTAACTAAATTATATATTTTCTGTGTAGCCCAAGACAGTTCATCTTCATTCAGAAAAGTTAGGGCAAAGAAGAATGGGCTGCAAGTTGGGTATGCCTGCTACTGAAACTTGATCAGTGAGTCCCTCGGTGAGGAGCTGTGAGAGGGAGCGGATCAGAGAATCAGATCTGCAACACAGCGGCCTTTCTGTGTACGCATGTCTGTGCAGGGATTATAGTGAAGATGAGGAATGGATGACTCATTTATAATGTAATTGCCAACGTGGATGTATGAGTTGTAGTTGTTATTGTAGCAAGACTTTTAGATTGATCTATGTTAGATCTCTACCTTCAGTTCCATACCCAAAGATTCATAGATCATTTACATAAAAAGCATGGAATAATACACTTTTAAAACTGGAATATTCCCCTTTGAGGGAAGGTATCTTTCAGAGAAAAAAAAAACTGTAGTGGACATGCTTATATGATTTTGGTTTGGTTTAGTTTCAATTGCAATGAGAGGAATATTGCAAAATGGTTAAGTCTGTCGCTGCTGCAGTTTTATTATTAACTATACCCATCAGCTGTGAGAAGCAGCAAAACCAAAGAAAGATGTTCTATGTAATTAAATAGGTATTTCTACTCCCAGATAGTGTAAGTGTGATTTTGTCTGTGAGTACATTACTTTTTTCCTACCAAGGAATGTTTTAAAGTGTGGCATCAAAACAGGTAATAAGAGAGAAATGCAAATTTTCAGAGAAGTAGTTTCAAGGCCCAAACTGTTTTTCCCACAGATCGCGTTTGCACATGATTCTACTCGTGTGATCCAGTGTTACATTCAGTACGGTAATGAAGAACAGAGAAAACAGGCCTTTGAAGAATTGCGAGGTATTTGCTCTACATTGAAGATGTTATCATTTGTAATGAGTCGCTTCTTTTCCTCTCAGAACACCCACAACTGCCCTAGGAAATAATTGTGTGGCGGTATTCTTTGTAGACTCTTTGTATTTGTTCCTTACCAGGAAAAAAGTTATTTATGTACATAGAATTGTACTTTTTTAGCTCTTTCCTTTGTTTCCTTCTGGAGAACTGAAATGAAGATAATGTATTTTGTTTTTCCAGATGATTTGGTTGAATTAAGTAAAGCCAAATATTCCAGAAATATTGTTAAGAAATTTCTCATGTATGGGTAAGTTGTATTATTTATAAAATATATTTTGCCTTAGTTTTTTTTTTTATTTCAGATGTGCTCAAGTGTTACTTAAAATGTCTGTGGTCTGCGGGGCATGGTGGTAAACATTTGTAATCCCAGCTACTTGTGAGGCTGAAGCAGGAGGATCACAAGTTTGAGGCCAGCCCGGGTAACCTAGTAAGACCCTGTCCCAGAATAAAAAGAGCTGGGATATAGCTCAGCACTAGAGCACTTGCCTAGCATGCAAGTGGCCTTGGTCTGATTCCCAGTACCATGCGCATACACTACACGTTCACATACAAAGTAAAGGTTTGTGGTGTTGGTAATCGCCCACCGCAGGTACTTTTGATGTTTCTAGGGCATATCACCGTGAAAAAAATTAGTGAAATTAATCTAAAATTATGGTATTGCGTTTACTATTGTTAGGGCCTATTCTTATATTTTGAAGTTGGAGAAAAACAGAGAGGGAATGCTAAAGAGTTAAATAGGAACTAACGGCACTTTCTCTGTGCTGGTCACAGTTCTTAATACATCTGAGCTCATTTAACCCCCAGAGCAACCTCCTATTGTTTAAACAGAGTGAAGCACAGATTGGTTAAAGATCTTGCTCCAGACCTTTGAGCCAGGATTCAGACCTAGGATGGCTGGCCGCCTGGATCCCGTAAAGCGTAGAGTTGAGGGTGTCATGATTATCCTGCTCATTAGATTTTCTCTTCAGGGTACTACACGCACACACATGCGCACGCTCTCACCTACACATTTGATGAGTTAGTCTTAGAAGAAATAAAGTACGCTATATTGTCATCCAGCTTGCTATCTTTTTTTTTTCCGTAACTGTTGAGTTTAGAAGTAAACCACAGATTGCGGAGATAATCCGAAGTTTTAAAGGCCATGTGAGGAAGATGCTGCGGCATGCAGAAGCCTCGGCCATCGTGGAATACGCGTACAATGACAAAGCCATTCTGGAGCAGAGGAACATGCTGACCGAGGAGCTCTACGGGAACACGTTTCAGCTTTACAAGGTGGGCACATGCTAGGTGCTTGGCGGGCCCCTTTTCGCTGACTGTTGATTTTTTAATCTGGCTCTTTATATGTAGTTGACCCTCTATATCCATAGGTTCCATATATGAGAAATCAACTCCACATGGAAAATATTACAAAAAATTGCATCTATATTGAACATGTATAGATTTTTTTCTCACTTTTCCTAAATAATAAAATATGACAATATTTCATGCCATCTACATTGTATTAGGTGTTACAAGTAGAGATGAATTAAATTATGTGGGAGTCAGGCTGGGCTTGATGGTACATGCCTATAATCCCAGCACTCAGGAGGCTGAGGCAGGAGTATCACTCCAAGTTTGAGGCCAGCTGGACTACATAAAGAGTTTAGAGCCAGCCTAAACTACAAAGCGAGACCCTGTCTCAAAACCCCTCCTCCCCACAACAGGTCCATGAGAGGATATATATGGGTTGTATATAAGTATTCTGCTATTTTATGTAAGGGACTTGAGTGCCCCTAGATTATTGCATATACAGTGCAGTCTTGGAACCAATATCCAATGGATAGCAGAGGACGATTATGCATTGGTAGACATACAGAGGGCTGTGAGATAATTAGAAAGAATCCATGTGTATAAATACTGCAGATCTTGAGTTATGTAAATATGGTGTATCTTAAATTTATTGTAAACTTAGTTAAAGTGGCTGTAGTTGTTCTCAAGTGAGGAAATTAATTAAATTAAGAGAGGTTTGGTTTTTCCTTTATTGCAGTCTGCAAAACACCCAACTCTGGACAAGGTGTTAGAGGTCCAGCCAGAAAAATTAGAGCTTATTATGGATGAAATGAAACAGATTCTAACCCCAATGGCTCAAAAGTAAGAAAAAAAATTTTTTTCCTTAACAAATTTAGAAGAGATATTTGAAGAAAGAAAGTTTTATATGACCTTTGCCCAGAAAAGGTGGCTATTTTCTCCTTGGTATTATTAATCTGTTAAATAAGAATATAAAAATTATGGTCTGAAACCATTTTGGGGCAAAAAGAGATCTCTTTTTCTGTCAGCATATCCTGTGAAAGGATAGCTGATAGTAAGGTTTGAAAAGTACTTACAGTGGAGGCTTGCAAACTTTCTTTGAGCAGTGAAACATTTCTTTTCCCAAAAACATTACATTGAACTGCGTTGTGTTAAATAGTTTTGCAAATGTAATCTGTTCCTTAAATTTCATCATAAGACTCAGAAGCCTATGCATATGGCCGTCTTAACATTGGTTCCACGCTGCCATGGAGTGGTGGGAACTTCGGAACTGTAGTGCCTCATTCGACGCCAGGTTCCCGCCTGCCCAACACACAGGCGCACATACAGGAACTCTCGAACCTTGGAAATGAAACATCTCTCTCCTCTATTTCCGTATCTATAGAATTAGGATGATATTACATACTTCTAAAATTATGAAGATTAAGCGGAACATTATTTCCAGAACCATGCTTTTTATAAAGGCAGCGCTCCTTTCTCCTGTCCGCTTAGATGCTTAATGTGAACTTTACATCTCTGGTGCTTAAACATGAGCCTCCAGTGTATGACGAAGCATTGTACTAGGGGGTGTACATCAAGTGAGGTTGTGGCTTTTGTTTACACTATTTTATGTCTGCTAAAATTATTTTATGAAACTAATGCATTTTGAAGGATGCTTGACAAAACATAATAAAAAATAGGTCTACATGTGGACTTTTAATCATGTCTTCAGTGCTGGAAGAAAAATATAGATGTACATATTTAAGAGGGTAGCATATATTTGATGATTTCACTTCTGCTGATTAGATACTAGGAATTTGTACAGGGCTTCTTTGTGGGTGACACTAAGTCAGTTTTAAATGTTTAGTGTATCCTTTTAAAAAAATTCTTAGTATTTTGAAAGATACAATCAGTCTTAGGATAAAACTGAAAAGATACGATCAGTCTTAGGATAAATTATATTCAGTAAAGTCATTTTACTTGTTGAGATCATTTTAGGACAACCACGGTTACCTGTGTCTGTGTGATGATTTTGCTAGATCTCATTTGTTTCCCTTTTTTTGTTTTAGGGAAGCTGTGATTAAGCACTCATTAGTCCATAAAGTATTCTTGGATTTTTTTACCTATGCAACACCAAAACTCAGATCAGTAAGTTCGTGGTTTTGTTTTTAACCTAAGTATACAGGAAAATCCTGTAGAAATTTGAAACACTGCTTCAACATACGCAATCCTGAAAATTTTAGAATTGCTTTCTTATTTATAACAAATGATGCCTAAAATTCCATTGAACAAGTCTAATTCCATTTCAGTTTTTTCCAGAAAACAGTAGAAGTGACTGTAGTTGTATTAATGTCATTGAATCTTTATGTTTTAATTGTAAATCCGAGAATATCCTCTACCTAATCTAATCTGAAAGTTAAGTACTGTTGGAGGAATATTTAGCATTTCAGTTAAATCAACTGTGCTAATACAGAAAAAGAAAAATCATGCTGACGTTGAAAGATCAGGGGAGGGTACTTAATGTAAAACTAAATGGCCCCTGAAAACCTGGGTCTTTCATGATTGAAGGAGAAGGAGCGGAGTGAAGGGAAATTGCGTTGCCCTTCAAGTCAGTGATGGGTTACAAATGAGAATTCATCGTTCAGCTCCCTGAACTTTGCTGGCTTTGTCATACATTGAGGTCGTTGTCCATTTATCCTCACTTTCTCACCACAAGGAATAACTAAAATGAGTCTAACTTCTTTTAACAAAATGCCAGATGATACATTCATAGAAATTTTGACTCTCAGCATCCAGAATAGTTTCTCAGCACTAGCCACCTATTTAACCTTCTGGTATAGTGACCATAGCAGTGTCAGATCTTCTGGAGGTTTCTTTTCATTTTTCACAGAATATAGTATCGTGTAGTTTTAGACTTTCTGAGGCAGGACTCTGTTCCGATTGACAAAGTGATCATTTGAGTGTATTCAGTGGGGGCAAGTACGTAAACTTTTAGTGTTGAAGGTATTTTAGCAACAGCAAAAAGTCATTTGTAACTAAATGTAAATTAATGAGACAAGTTGTCCTCTCTGGCCCTGGGAGGGAGCATTTTCAAAGGAAAAACTTTAAAAAACCTTTTGGGCTATTAGCATAATTGGAATATATATATTACTCTCCAAGTGGGTAGCTTTCAAGAGATTCATAAGTTCTGGTTTGTTAGCTGAAACCTGTGTTCTTGAGAATTATTGTGGAAAATAAGTTGGGTACAAACTAAAATGGGGCCCGACAGCTATTAACTGCCAGAACACATTTATAACTAGTGTGCTTAGACTTTGAAAATATAAATAAAAAATTATGTACATTGAAAATGAAGGCTTAAGGGTAAACTGCTTTGTAAGAAATTTGTGAGTATTTCACAAAAGGGTCATTTATAGGTGAAGGCCTAGCCTAAATATTAACACAGAATTCTTTTTCTTTTGAAAATGTTTTTTAAGTGTATTTATGGTAAAGAACTCATATGATTTTTGGAAGTAATCCAGCGGTATGCTAAAACAGAGACCCTAAGTTAGAATGAGTTTGGGTTTGCTTATCACTGCTATCGCCTAGATTGCTTTTTCTTGAAAAATCATTTAGAATGTATTTTATTACACATATACCTTGTAACTTTTTAAAAACAGACATTAGTAAAAGTCAGTTATATTGAGTAATAGAAATTGCCTGCCAGCAAAATTTGCCGCTTTTGGTGGAAAAGTGTTTCTAGAAAGACACTGTTTGTCTAAAGAATTAAAATTTAAGGTGTTAGTTACCTTTGCTCTCTTGTCTTCATTCCCTGTGTCTGACTCTTCTATAGACAGGTAAAACAACAAAAAAGAAAGACAAAAACATGAACCAATTCCCTGACAGGCTTTGTTCCCTAGGAACTGATTGAAGCCATCCGTGAAGCGGTTGTGTACCTGGCGCACACACATGATGGTGCCAGAGTGGCCATGCACTGCTTCTGGCATGGCACGCCCAAGGTAAGTGTGCCAGCACTTACCTTGAGTGTAAATATGTAGTGTGGCAGTGAGGGCCATGTCTTATCTGCAGGCTGGATTTGTCTGTCCTTAGGATTTTAGCTCCATTTGGTGTTTGCTGTCTTGTGCATAGACAGCATCTCTTCTTACAGTTGCATCAGGGCCTTACGGCATCACCATATTCTTCAGGCCTGTTACCTCTCTGCTTGAGTAGCAGTCTTGACATTCACCGAAGAGCAGGAAGGGATCCATCAAGCAAGTAAAGCCAGTCTTTATGTTTGCCTTTCGCTTTATGAAGATTTTGAATGTCGTAGGCTCTTTTCATACCTTCCTCGTTATCATATTAAGAGAAGGAGAGGAAGGAAGAGATAATGAATAGTTAGTATTAAGTACTTTGAGGAAAAAAGGTGGAGGTCCATATCAATCACAGAATTTCAACAGAAATGATGAGTGTTTCTTTGATCAATATACTTCTGCCTTCAAACTATAGTTGTGTGTATCTACCATTTCATTAATGGAAATCTATTTTTATTCAACAAATACATATTGAATACTATCTGTATGGCTGACTACATTTGAAGACATTTCAGACACTGGAACAAGAATCTCAGGTCTTATTATAAAAGGTGGTTTCACTAGGTTTGCCTTGTATCTTATAATGTAAGGTTCCATGTTTAAATGTCTAAAGGATCATCACAAACAAGTCTTAAGATTTTACTACTTTAGCTCTGAAAGGACATAGTATATTGCAATTTTTCATTTTGATTGCATAATTATTTTTACTAATGAAAAGTATTGGCACATGGGTAAAGACTTGTTATATAAATTTTTAAAGTGAAGTAGTTTTAATCTATAAAAGTTCATTGAGGCAGTTTTTTTCTCTTTTTAATGAATATTTTTTAAAGAGAATAAAACAAAACCAGTACAGAATCTCAAAACAAAAACAGTACAGAATCTCAAAACAAAAACAGTACAGAATCTCAAAACAAGATGATAGGAAATTAACAATATTTGTTATATTGCGTATTGCTATCTTCAAAGTATATTTTGGTTACTTTTCTCTCATTGCTGAGACAAAATACCTAACGCCCAAAATTAAGAAAGTAAAGGTTTATTTAGCTCACAGTTTGTGGAAGTTTCAGTCCGTACTCAGCTGGCTCCAAGGCAGAGTGGCACATGGCAGAGGGCAACAGTTCATGGCAGCTGAAGACTGCAAAATCAGCAAGAGCAAACTGGAGGAGTAGGGGCAAACAGCCTCTTTCTCTCTCTTACATATGCAGACTATCCACCCTAGGGCTGATGTACCACTCACACCCACAATCCCAGCATTGGATCATGGATCAGTGATAAACTCTAAAAGCCCGCCCCATGACTGCATGAGGCTTTGGGGGGACATCCAGACACAAACCATAACAAAGTAGTTGCTCAAATTACCAGATGTAGGCATGTAAAGTGGATCAAACAGTATAAGCACTAACTATCCCTTTCAATGAACTAATAAAAATTAGTGGTACAATTATTTTCTCTAGCTTGTGTGTGTATATATATATATACACACACACATATGTATATATTGTTTTGTTTTGTTTTTTCCTTTTGAGCAGTTTTTTTCCCTTTCACAATATCTGTAGTACCTTTTGGATCTTATTTATGCTTTCCTTTTTAAGGACAGAAAAGTAATTGTGAAAACAATGAAGACTTACGTCGAAAAAGTGGCTAATGTAAGTAGAGCAAAAGTATATATTTCCTTTAATTATTTTTAATCGTAAATAGAATTCATGTCTTACAGAAAATTTAAAAATTACTGAGAAGAAAATAATTCTCTTGAAGTTTTTAATGTATATGTCTTTTATATAATTATTTATACAAAATAGAGTTCGTACAACATGTATTCTTTTTTCTGTCTTTCTTTTTTTTGTGTGTGTGTTTTTGTTTTTTGTTTTTGTTACTTCTTTCATGAGTAGTACTCACATCCAGGACCTCACACTTGCTAGGCAAACTATGCCAGTGAGCTGCATCCCAGTCCCAGGCCTGTTCATTCTCATTCTGTGTCCCTCTCCCCGTCTCCTCCTCTCTCCCCTCTTTCCCTCTCTCTCTCAACTTAATGTTATATTTTGTGCTAATTTTCCATTTTTAGAAGATATTTTTGGAGGACCTGTTGCTTAATAGTTTCTTTTATGAATTTGTCTAATGCTAAATAAACAGGGGAATTATTGCCCTAATTAAGGTGACTTATATTAGATTCTAGGCAAATAAGGCTGAATTGCAGTTTAAAAACTGGATGCTGGTTTTTCTTACCACCAAAAATACAACAAATTTGTATTTTTTTCTCAGGATAAATTTGCAGTGTGGTCATCCAGGAATTAAAATTTCTGGGTCAGATCGTATGTGCATTTTAAATTTTTAGAGATGTTGTCAATTGCCCTCCTGAGAAGTTGGACCACTTTACATTCCCAGCAACATAAAAGTGTGCTTGCTCATCCCCAAACCTCTGATACTCATGTGATACCAAACATTTTTGCAGTTGTTTACGGGCTAAGTGGAAAACGTTATTGTATTTTCTTAATTATGTATTATGGTCCTTAATTATTACATTTAAAGTCATTTGTACTTCCCATTTCTGTGACCTGACTCTTCATTTTTTCCCCACCTTTAGTTGATTGTTGGTCTTCATATAGGAAGTTCAGGCCTTTTCATTTTCTCCAGTTTATATTTGTAACCATATAATTAGTAATTTCTTCATTGTTTATAATTAAAATTTTATTACCTATTGTATTCATTCGATCTGGCTTGAATGAGTATTGGCTGTTACCAAAAATCCAAGCTCCCTCATTTAAAAAAAATTTTATATAATCATCATCATCTAGGGTACTAACAAGAGTATGCTACAAGCTCTGAAAACAGTTTTTCATTTTCTTCTGTTTTTGTCCTTAACATAAAGTATGTTATTTAAACTCTTGGAGCAATGTCAGCATCATAGAAATAATTGTATTATTTCAAGAAGTGACTATTGTGAAAGCCACTGTGTGTGTGTATGACCTCCTCTATACTTTTTTAAGGCCGTGATTTTTATCTTGTTCTCATGTTCATTATATAATTATATTGTACTCTTCTAGTTTATGTTTTTACTACTTACATTTTAATTATGTAGGATCACTTTAAGGAAATTGGGCAAGATACAATAAATTTATTTGGACAGTATATAATAAAAAGGAATGTATAATTGTTTAACCCAGAGACAACTATTACATTATACTGTTTTGCCTTCCAGAATTTTCTATGTACATGTATTATGAACATTGTGTGTATGTATAATTATATCAAAGTTTGTTTCTTTGTGTGATTTGAATATTCCCTCTCTATATATTTAGTTCCCCCTTCTGAATCTTACCACTTGAATTTTCTTGAGTTTTATTTTCAGTAACTGTTCATTAACAGAATACTTATTTAAACAGGCATTAAATCCTAGTTAGTCTTTGGTATTTAGTAATGAAGAATGTGTTTTTCTGGTTCTTTTTTCTTTTTAAGTCAGTCTTATCTCTAGAATATGATTAACTTGGTCCTGATAAGAAGGGAAGTTCTCTTGAATGGTCTTTATTCATCTTGTTTGCGTGGTGTCGGACACATGGTCAGTGTATTGATAACTGTTTTTTTTGTGGCTCTGTGGGTGGGATAAGAGAAAATTAGATTTTTTTTTTATCTTTTCTGGTTTATAATTTTTATAGGGCCAATACTCTCATTTGGTTTTGCTGGCGGCCTTTGATTGTATTGATGATACTAAGCTTGTGAAGCAGATAATCATATCAGTAAGTAACTCTTGATAGTCTCCAATTTAAGTTAATTAGTGTACTAGCTGTGGGCATCTAGTTTGATTTGCTGTATATAAAGATTTGCCTATGCTTTCTATCTGTATTTTCTGTTACCTTTTAGTTATCTCAGGTAAGTCACATTTTGGAGGTTTGCTCTATTCTTGTGAAATCATATTTGTAAGTTCATATTAATACTGTTTTAAGGTTAAAAACTGGTTAAATGTATGTTTGACACTTATTTTGGATTTGGGCAGCAGGGTTTTTTAGACACTATAAGATAACTAAAAAATGAGCAGAACCTTGTTTAGATTTGATCAGAAGTCAGTTTGTGTGGTATGATAATCTTGTTTAATACCCTGTCCCTGTGAACAAACTGCCTCTGCACAGTTAATCTCTAATAAACACAGTCGTTGTGCTCATTAGAGCTTTCATGAAGAGCTTTTGAGAATCAGATTAAAAGTTACTGCTCATGTTAAAATACAAACTTCCTTTTTACATTTCAGCAGTGTAGTCCACCAATCTAGTGTAGTGACCATGAAGTGGTAATGGTTGAATATAGGTCATTTGCCTGTAACATGGCTTTCAGAAAAACTGAGCTGTCCTCTTGGAAAAATTATGCCAGAGTATTTCTTTCTTTGTTCCTTTTTCTGAATGCTTTATTCTGTGGTCCTCTTTTTTCTTCCTTTCCTTCTGGTACACTGTGGTGTTGAGTATTGGTAGAGATTACAAGAGTGGGGATAGGAAATGACCACAGTGTTAGCATTGCCCAAACTTGGAAATGTTTTGAAAACTACATAATTTATATAGATATAGTCATTCATCTGAGGATTAACCACCCTTTGTGCTTGGTATATATGAATGGGGCCCTTGGAGAAGTCTTGTTGATAAATGGTACTGTCAGTGGAGAAAAAAGTATATCAGCTTATGGAAGGGAAGATCTGTTCTTTTTAGATGCCAGCTGTAGATCCTAGTGTATGTGAGTTTCTCATGCCCTTGCTGTCATTTTCCAACTTTGTGTTTGACTATTTGAAGATGTGACGACTTCCCTTGGGGTAGGATTGTGGGAAGAAGCAAGTTGGCAAGACTTTGATGTCACAGACTGAGTATTTTGACATGTTCCTTGTGACTTTATTAACCTTTAGACTCCAATCAATAATGATTGTTTTTTCTTCTCATGACAGAGATGTGAAACCATAGAATTGGCTGATAAATAAAGTTGTTTCACAAAAATGGAAATGGACTGGGCTATTCAAAGTTCGCTTTTGTGTAATATTTTCATGACAACTACAATTTGCATAACTGTTTCAAATGGATTTCAAGAGAAACCAAACTTTCTTCACAACTTGCCAAAATTGTCTGTTAAGTTAATCTCCAGAAATTTATTCTACTTAAAGCTGCTTTTGAGTTTTAATTCCTGTGCTTATCAGTTGGATTCCCACAGATATTTAACCAGCATTCCTAATGACTCTTACTTAAGGCAGCTTTCCCTGAATGGCCTGATTTGTGGGTCTCTTGCCTCTAAGTGACAAATGCTCAAGGGGTTCTCTATGTCCTTAAACTACGTAGCTAGTGATAAAAGTCTTGAATGTTAATTGCTCTTGCGTTTTTTTTTTCCCACCCATCCACCGCAGAACCTGCCGCAGTGTACAGTGCTTTTGAAAACTAAGAAAGCCTGGTGTTGCTAAGCACTGTATGCAGGAAACCTGGACTTCCCTAAACATCAGATTAAAATTATAGCCTGGTCAGCTGAGCCTTCAGCCTTTCAAAATGGCTACAAATTGCTCTTCACCTACTTTAGTTTCTGAAATAAACTTATTCATAAAGTTTGATCCAGTTTACCCTGAAGTCTTTGGTGTGATGCAGCTGGTTTGACAGTAGTGCTCCCAGGGAAGGTGATAAGTAGATTTACTAGTTGTTTGAGGGTAAATACAGTAATGATGCATATTTTAAAATGTATCTTTAAAATGCTTAGCCTCCTGCTATCTGGCATAAAAAAGTAAAATCTGAAAAATATAGTTTAAGCCTTTAACGTATCCATCCCTAATCCTCTAACCCCCTACCCACTATAATGAATTTAGTATTAATTACTCATAAATATACCTGTGTCCAATCACTACATGTACTCTGTATGTATGTATGTATGTATATCTTCATATTTAAAAATTCTACATAATTGATATCAGTATGTTTCTTTAACTTGCTATTTTCATTTGACTTGATGAGATTCATCATCAGAGGTCAGCAAGCTTTTTTGGTAAAGAGCCACATAATTATTTTGGGTTTTATAGGCCATTTATGGTCTCTGTCTCATAATCCGGTTCTTTTGTTTCTGCTTTTTAGTACCTCTTTAAAGTGTCAGTACCATTCTTAGCTTGCAGGATGTACAGAAATAGAGTGTAGGATGGATTTGACCTATGAAGTATAATTTGCCCACCTTTGTCCTAAGTCATTTATTTTTCAATACCAAGTATTTACCGTATTAATATGTTGCAATTTTTAAATTTTCCCATGTTTAATTTTTTAATAGTTTTATAAACTTATTTATTTCTTAGTAAATTTTGCTATTCCAAATAATCCTGTGAACAATGATGTGTATTTTTTTATGGATACATTAAAAAATTTCTGAGGCATCTGCTTAGCAGAATTGCTGGGTTGCCAGCAATGTTGCACATGTTTATTGAGAGTCGTGTGTCTGTTTTCCTTTGTGTGTGTGTGTGTGTGTGTGTGTGTGCCAGGAATTGAACTCAGGGCCTTGTACTTGCCAGGCAGGTGCTGTGCTACTGTGCTGTATCCCTGGCCCTGTGTCTGTTTTCTTTGTCAGCCACTCTCAAACCTATTGCATTATGCAGTCTTTATAAAAATAGCCAATAAAGCTTGGCTTTGCTAAACATTCTCTTTAAAATAACTGGATTTCTTGAAATGTTGGGTTGAAACTATAGCTTGGTAATTGTTTCTCTTGTTTTCTGGTAAGAGCAATCTCCGTAGTATTCCCTGATCTCCCATCCAGATCCAAGCCGTTTGTATCCTCTCAGGCCCCACTGTCTTTGTCTTTGCCTTTCCCATCTACTCATTTGGTGGTTAATTGCGATCTGATACAGATCACATAGGCTCAGAAACATCCATTGACCAGGCAGGTAAATGAGTGAGGCCAGCCAGGCAGGAGACGAGAGGGGCGGAGTCATAGGGGCTGCAGAGGGCCGCTGGTCCAGGTGGCCACCGCTCACCTCCAGTCTAGCAGTGTGATGGACCATCCCACTTTTTTTTTTTCTTTTAAATTGAGGCAAAACACACATAATATAAATAAATAACACGCGCCATCCTAACCAGTTTTTAGTGTACGGTCAGGTAGTGTTAAATATACTTATATTGCGCAACCAGTCTCCGGATAACTTTTTCTTGAAAACTGAAACCCTGCACCCATTAAATTAGACTTGCTAGTTTTTTGAGTGCAGCCAAAAAGTGGGCCCTGGAATAAAATCACCATATTTTAAAGGGAAACACTCCACAGCCTGGCTGGTGATTCAGGCTGCCCCAGCACTTCCCTTGGTGTTCATTATTTAAATCTCTGATATTTTTAACTTTCCATTAACTTTCCTGGCTTTCCTGGTACAGATTTTAGCTGCTTATAGCTAAAAAGGTTTGATTTCTTTTTGTTCCATGGATTGTGTATACCACTGGCTCAGTTCTCAGTAACTTATATTGCTTTTTGCATTTCTGTGCTCCATGGAAAATGTGTATATGCTCTAATTCTGCTTCCGGTACGCATCTTTGATTCTGACCGTTACCCTTCGTCTAAAGGAGGATTGGTGAAACAAGAGTGCCAAGGAGTCTGGCAAGGGCTGAACACTAGAAAGTCAAAACTGGCCAAGACTGGAGATGTTTGTAGCTCAGTGGTAGAGTACTGGCTTAGTACGTACAAGACTGGGTTTGATCCCCAGCACCCCATAAGTAAATAAATAGGCAAGCAAATGTACTTTAAAAATAAAAAAAGTGACCAACGAAGTCTTCAGGAAGGACATCTTTTGTTCTTTCCATGTTTTCCTTCTGCTCACATGCCTGCTTCATAATATAAGAAATTACAACAAATGGTCCTTTATGTGATTTTCTTTTGTTCTTACAAGGGGTAAGCTAAGCCAAACTTAAAATTAAAATTGAGTTCACATTGTTGGCATTTTCTCTCTTGTGAGGGTGAGGACTTCTGATTCCACCAGTTCTACTTATCTCTAGTTGAGGATGCTGCGTAGTGAAAGGTGTGTAGTAAGTATAACAGTTTGTAGTTGCAGTGTACATTCTCTGATTTGCTTAGGGTAATAGCACATAGTCAAGCAGGTGTATCATTTCCTTTTACAGATACGGGAATTGATGTGCAGAGAGGTTAGAGGATTTGCCAAAAGCTACACTTTTAAAACTCCAGAGACCAAATTTAGCACAAAATCAGCTGTGACTTAGCTGTCTTTTAATTATTTGTATGCAAAGGGAATTGTTAACACTCTCCAGATGATAGTCTAGAGATTTCTTTCCTCTTTCTTTGTAAACCAAGCTAAAGAGGGTAATACCCCATCATATAAGAGCACTTGTATACTGTTTTCTTTATATTTTTCAAAGATTTATAATTTCATTGGGAGGGGAAACCTGGGATGAAAGTGAGATGGAGGAAAGTTAAATACCACATTTTTAGGTAAGCATTTTTGAGTTACATGAAAGTGTTTGTAAGCTTTGCATACTTTTAAAAAAACTTCAAGCATATTTGCAAACCAGGTTAATTTGGGGACTAAATCCTTCAATACAGTTATGCATAGATTTTGTGCATATAGTAAACTTGTAGTATTTTATGTTAAAAAGCAATGTCTGTTTAAGACGTGTGCTAGATTTGTCCCTCGGTGTGCAAAGCCTAGGGGACCACATCACTGGCTTTCCTCTCTGTACACCAAGAAAAGCATTCTCATTAAAAATAAGTAATAGGCATTGTAGTTCACTGTGTAGTCCTGGTTTTGAGTGTACTACATTTCAGTGTCATTTTCATAGGAAAGCAAAGGGTGCTTTTTTTTTTTTTTTTAATACTATGGAAAATGGTCAGACTTAGTGAACATTCTCACCTCTTTCGATAAATTAACAGAATAAATAACAAATAAAAACATCTGTCCTCTTTGAGCTGAAGTTTAAAATAGGTACCTAAAGATATACCAAGGGTCCCCCAGTATATCAGCAGCTAAGCTTCTCATAACATAATGAACCCATTCTGGACTTGTTAACTTAAGGATTATAAAAAAGCTCTCTATCCTGTTATAAATTCTGTATGCTTTTTGTCCTGTCTTCCCTTTTATATTACTGAAATTTTAAGTTCATTTTCCCTAGATGGTTAAAATTACATAACTATTTTGAGGTGTTACATCTATTGGATCTATTCTGGAAAATTTTATATTTTATGTGGGAATCATTATGGTGGGTTCATAAACTCCAGAAGTAGACCTGAGTAGGGATTGGAGTCATGGAAAGACAGGGTCATGTGAAGATCATTTAACTCATTTAACATAATAGATGTACCACTCTCAGCCTCTGTTCCTCGTAAACTTTTATTTATTTATTTATTTATTTATTGGTTTTTCTCTGGTACCGGGAATCTAACTTACGACCTTGCGCACTTGCCAGGCAGGCGCTGTGCCACTGAGCTAAATCCCCAGCCTCCCTCGTAAACTCTTAACAAGTGATAGCTACTATTAATACTGATCAGAATTACATACATTCTACAAACAGTGATGGAGGCTTTGGATTTTAAAAAGAGAAACATGAAACTGGGCACAGTGGCACACACCCATAATCCCAGCACTCTGCAGAACTGAGAAAAGAGGATCACAAGTTAGACCCTGTCTCAAAACTATAAACAGAAGAAAAAAAAGGATAGGGATATAGCGAAGGCCCCAGGTTCATTCCAAAAACTACAAGGGTGGGATTGGGGCACGTGGTGATCTGGACAGTTGCATCTGCTGTGGGATCTTGGATTTGGAAGCGTTGTCATCCCATGGTTGATGACTAACTTAATTTTTAGCTTGGTTCCCTGCATTAAAATTACTAATCTTACCATAATAGACTTTTTGAAGAAGAAGAGGCCCAGCTGTCATCTCATAGAGTTCCTTTCCTTTAGAGGAACTTGTGTGTTCTCTTGGAAAGAGCCTAGTTTCAAAGTCAGGGAACCAAGGCTAGTCAGCCCTGCTTCTGATAGGTCACACCTCTGGCAAGGTGCCTATCTCCTCTCTGTTGCCTCCTCGGTAAACCTGGTGAGTTGAACTGAACTCTTCCTGAGTCAGTTCTAAAGGGCTCAGTCAGTTCTAAAGGGTTTATGGGTTTAGAAACAAGTGTATTCGATATTTATAAAGTTTGTGGTAAGAAATGGGACTCTAGGGGGTGATGATTTTTCTTTGCACTTCTCTTGACAGTAGCTCTCTGCCTTTGAAAACATCAGCTTGTATAGATAGACCAACTTTGCTTTTATTACTTAAATTCAGACCACTAGAAAGGAGGGTCCTGTTCTTGAGTATGTTGGTTGAGAATGTCATACAGGACCTCTGTTTTGTAACTGTTCAGAAGAATCTTCCTGGAGGTTCTCCACCTTCTGTTCTTGTTTTTTACTGCGGTCATTAAACACCTCTCATTTCCTAGGGATAAGCGACCTAACTTTTTAAGAGTCTTTGTCTACTTGTTCCATTTAATAGACGTCCTTAATCTCGCTCACGTCCCTCAGCAGGGACTTCCAAGAGGCACGGTTGTCTTCAAGGCTGATGTTAACCGCTACTCAGTGAGCCCAGCAAATGCTGTCCCTGAGACTAGTGGCCTAAGAAATACTGGTTGTAGTGAATGGTGATTTCTCCCTGAAATATTCTTCAGGTCCTTGAGCTAGGTTAGTTAACATAAATGGCTTGCTTCGTAATACTAGTCACAGCAGAATATTGACTGTGCTCCAAATATAAATCTCTCCATGCATTAATGAGACAATTTGAAAACTAACTCCACATTTGCCATTAAGTGCACTGGGGAGTTAAATGTATCGTATTCATTATCATTCTAGTTCCAGCTGTACTTTAGGAATATAGGTAATGATTCATGTTTGTTTATAATTTATAGGAAATTATCAGTTCCTTGTCTAGCATAGTCAATGACAAATATGGAAGGAAGGTCTTGTTGTACTTACTGAGCCCCAGAGACCCTGCGCATACAGTACGAGAAATCATTGAAGTCCTGCAAAAAGGAGATGGAAATGCACACAGGTAAAAGTCTCGGATTGCTCGTTAATTCTTTTCTTTTTCTTCTTCTTGTTCATTAATTCTGAGTAGCACCCGCTTGCAGAAATCTACTCACATAGGCATACTGTTTCTTGACATCTCTACAGCTTCTCAAAAGATGAATTCTACTTTTTAGGTCATCAGTTTTGACAGATTTTTAAAGTTGTTACATTAAACGAAAATACAGGTATCATGCCAAATGACCTCTGAGTACCTGGCACATAGATGGCATTCCGGTGTGGAGCTTACCATGTATTCAGTACCGTGGAGAATAGAGTTCCTAAAGAACTCTAAACGTGTGTCAGCTTATGAGATGAAGGGTTGTTGTTTGACCTTATATTGGTTTGGTTTAGCTTTCGGGGGGGGGGGGTTTATTGTTGTTGTTTTGTATTGCACGAAGCGGGCTTTATCGAATGCTTGTACTGTGTCAGGCATTACTCAGATTCAGGTTGCAAACACGAAAAGCAACACCCTCAGATCGCCTGCTGACTGTGTGCTCAACAGAAATATAAGTTACAACAGGGTGTGATGTAAAGTTACAGAAGGGTGTGAGAAGCTCCCGAGGTTTTGTGACACTCAGATCACTCTATGTCCTTTGCCATTTATTTTACCTGACTACCTCATTCAACATTTTCCCACAGTAAGAAAGACACAGAGATCCGCCGTCGCGAGCTCTTAGAAGCCATTTCTCCATCTTTGTTAAACTACCTGCAAAGAAATGCCCAAGAGATGGTGCTAGATAAGTCTGCGTGTGTTTTGGTGTCTGACATTCTGGGATCCGCCACTGGAGATGTTCAGCCTGCCATGGATGCCATTGCCACCCTGGCAGCAGCAGAGCTACACCCTGGGGGCAAGGATGGAAAGGTAGCGTGCTGCTGAAAGACAGGAAAGCTGCAAGGGCTTTAAAAACTCCAGCCAGCAAGATGTCACTACAGGAAGTTTTAACAATAATTATCCCAATTTACCTCATGCCAAGAGTACATTTTGTTTTTGGGGCGGGTTTTGTTGGGGGGGGAAGGAGGTTGTTGTTGTCGTTACTGGGAACTGAACTTAGGACCTCTGTTTTGCCAGGCAGGCTCCGTGCCATTGAGCTATGTCCCCATCCAATGGTACTTTTTAAAATTGTGAATTCAAAATGCCACCCATTGTATCACTTGTGTTTCTCAAAAGTGTGCAGTTACTCGGTATTATCTACAGAGTAAAGACACACTGTCACTGTGTCTTTTTTGTCAATGACTGACCCCGTGACACCTTTCCAGAGTATTCCATACCCTTTTGTTTTTGTTCTGAATTTGCTGTGGGTGCTTCCTCCTCCAACCCGATTGCTGCCCCATTTCTCCATTTCCCTGTGCTGTCTGCAGAAAGCTGCGCTCACCTGACACCCCCAGAGTCCTCTGTGAAGCCTTCCCTAAGTTCTCTTCAAACAGATTCTTGCTCATTCTAATCTCTCCTGCCTCTCATTTGAGCCTAGTGTTCTGCATTGCATTTTAAAGTCACTGACGCATGCACTCACGATATGTGAAAGGCGGGGCCGGCACTGCCCTGCCAGTCATTTGAAGGGCACAGCATTTAAATACGCAAATAATTGCTAGTATTGAAAGGAAAGCTATGAAAGACAACGCCAGGCTCTGTGGGATTGTGTAAGAACAGTGCAGTTGAGCCCGGAAAGATGAGTAGCTCAGTGAAGAATGATAGAAAGCTCCGGGCTGAGGGAGCAGCGTGAGCTTCTGTTCTGGAGAAGGTGGGAGTGGGGCGTGTTAGAGAAGAAAAGGCTGGGGTTGGACCAGCAAGCAAAGGGAAAAGAAGGCCGAGGGCGGATCACCAGGACCCTCATCCCACATGGGTTGTGAGCTCCCAAGCTCCCAGTAACACTGTGGGGATCCCTGTCTTCAGAGGCAGTGGCCTCTACTTTCATTGAGTTTCACAAAAGCGTTTGTCTCAGTCTCACAGTCGCCTTTCGGTACTATCCCTAGAATACAGTTCGAGGGTATGAAATAAGGTGTTCAAGTTTATGCCTTTCACACATTAATCAAAACTATAACCTGCTCTGAATGCCTCAAAGGTGCTCATACCTGAAATGACAGGCTCCCTGTCCTAAGGATGGAATCCGTTGGAGAGGCCCGTGCAAACAACGTGTTACAGTGCAGTAATACCTGACTTGTGGTCCTGATCCAGACTTTAGTACTATGGATGGTGTATGCTTTGGCAACAATCACTAGGCTGCCTCATGGTAGCGTTTAGGTGATTAGTAATCCTAAGAAAAGCAGAGGACTGCTGCTCCAGATCCCGCTCCGCTGGCTCGCTGTCCTTCCTCTTCTCCCATCTGTGTAGCTTTGACTGTTAACAGTCGCCACACAACACAACACAGTACTGTTCACAACCTCAGCCCTTGTCTCTGCATCTGAGTCCCCGCAAGAGCAGTGAGGCTTCTCCTGGGACTAGGAAGAAGGCTCCAGGCAGCTTTCTTGATATCTTACTGGCCAGAACTGAGTCGCTTCTACTTCTGGACCAGTCTCTGGCAGAAATAACCGGAGAAGTAGGGCTGTTTGAGATCAGTCAGGATGTATCCCCTGAGAGCAGCAAAGGATATTTAGAGAAGGGGGTGGAAGGGGCAGGGTGTGAGCAGGGAGGAAAGCTGAGGCTGGCAAGGTGCTGTTGAGTTAATAGCTGAGACCTTTTCCCCAGCAGCCATTGTCTGTTACTCATCTTGAGTCCCCTGTAACCCACTGGGCACTTGAAAATGTTTCGCACCAACATGTGTTTGGTTCTGAATAAGAGTGATGCGAGGTAGCGCGTGTTCAGGGTGCTTCTGAGGTGCAGGGTTGGGAAAGAGAAGTGTGCTTGGGCCTTAGAGAAGCCCTGACCCCTGCCCTTCTAGAGCAGATCATGAAGTGAGAGATGAACGCGCAGTGAAAGTTTCTCTGTCAGGGGGCTGTGCCCGTTGTGTCTCATCCTTGGGGAGTGCAGACCTCCCAGGTGCTATGGGAATCGTTGGTGTGGCCCTTGAGAAGGAATGGTATTGACCTGCGCAGCTCTTCCCTGGCCTGCTCATCAGGTAGTTTGGTAAAACGTATTTTAAAATTCAGCATTAAATTTTAATATTTCTGCTGTAGTGTTCTGCCCGGAAGGTTTATTTGTTCCTCAGAACTGCATGTTACCATGGGAAACAGGGCCAGCATGATTGGAGGTGAGGAGTGTGGTGGTGCTGATCAGCCTGGAACCCCTGAAGCCTCGTCTGCGCTTCCGTGCTGGAGCTGTACCCTCTTGCATAACCCTGTTCATGTCAGCGCGGGGAGCAGCGGGGATCTCTGGCCCCTCTAGATAGGAGCGGTATTCTAAGGATGTTTATAGCATTGTGGAGCCGAAACCCCATTGTGTCTTTGATCTGCACGTGGTGATGTAGATTAAATTTGGCTCGAGGCCCGGATGTGACCAGGTTTTAGAATTAACATATTCTTGATCCCTCGCAGCTTCATGTTGCGGAACATCCTGCGGGACATCTAGTTCTCAAGTGGCTACTGGAGCAAGATGAAAAGATGAAGGAAAGTGGAAGAGAAGGTAGGCTGTGCATTTTGACTTTCTCTTATGTCTGAAGCAGAATCTTTGTCATTCTTGGCATCCCGGGACTTTACACTGGCCATGTAAGTTCGCATGAAGCTTGTCAAATGTTTAGAAAAGAATCTGTGAGGAATTACTTAGTCATTGCTAGTAATGCTTCTTCTAGAAACTTCTGTCCAAGTCATTATTTCTTGCCCACCCTCCCTCACTCCTCTCTTCTCTGCTTCTTCAGAATTTCAGGCCAAACTAGGTCAGTGCCCTGCAATGCTGTTCTGTTTCCTGAGGATGGTACGGCATTATCCCTAGTTGAAAGGCATGATTTTTATGTCTAGTTTTGATGAAAGAGTAAGCAAAAGAAAATTATCCCCATCAGAGAATTTTGGACGGTTGCCTGTTTATTTGGCAGTGAAATCCATGTGAGTGAAGACAAGCCGGTCCTTGGCACTTCCTGGCTTTCTGTAAGCCTTACAGCTGCTCTGTAGGAACTGAGCTGTAAAGAGGAGGACCGCCTCTTTTCTGACTGGAATTGCATACCATTCCCTTTTTTGTCCTGTCTGTTTTTGTTCCTGAATTCAGACTCCGTCTGGTGTGTAAGCCTCTAAGGAGAGTTCCCCCACTCAGCACAGTTTGGACTGTTACTGTGGCGGGAAGGACGACAGCCCGGGGGTTTACTCAAGGCAAGCTGCATTTCAGTGGCCACTCAGTATGGGAGTAGAGCTGTCGCTTCTCACCTTACCTTTAAGAATAGGCTAATTTTCACTGCAAAAAAAAATTTTATGTATATGTAAAAGAGGATGCTTGTAATATTGAAAGAAAATAAAGTACTGTAACACCTTTTTCATTATCAAAGAAGTTCTTGCAAACTTGAGTTGATGCCAGAGAAGTTGTCAAAGTCCAAGGAATGGTCAAGTGGTTTTTCTGTCTCCTAATGGAAATGTGCTCAGAGCCCTAAAATATGCGCATCTGGGCCTCATGTGTTTGTCTTTTTCATCTCGCACTAAATGGGTGTGTCTGGCAGTTTTGATTATCTGTTGCTGTGTAGGAAGCCACCTCAAAACTTAGAAGTTTTCAAAACAGAGTCAGAGTTTGGTATAGCTTGCCTCTGCTCTGCTTTTCTGGCATTGCCTAATAGACGTATGTGTAGGACAGGAGACAGGGTAGTTATGTTTGGAAAACACGAATTGCTTTACTGACTTACCTGTCACCCTTTAAGCAGGTGCCGTGAAAGGCTGGTAAGCTATAGGCCCATGGCTGTCCCTACATTTGGGTATCTTTGAAAGAATTGTGCAGGCAACCGAACCCAGCTCGTTGCTGTGAGGATAGGTTATCCCTTCTGTCCCTGCCATAATCCTAGCTATTAGAATTTCTTCTTAGTCTAACAGTGGGCTACACTAGATGGCACAGCGAGTGAGTCATCCCAAGACCTTGGAGTCAGAAGTACTAAATAAGATGAGTGGTATTTTTGACGTGTGGCTATCTAAGCATTGTCGGGAGAAATTGCCAAGAAAAAGCTCAAGTATTTAATCTTCAGTCGCTGTGTTCATGGCACCTTCTGGGTAAGCATTCCCTACGAGGGAAGACTTGGTTTCAGCCAAAGTGCTGCTATCAAACATTTACTTTCTAAATAACTTTCAGATAAAGGTCAAATCACTCAATACTGCAAACATGACCAAATAAGCATTCTTTAAGAATTCGTTTTTCTTGAGTATTTACCAGTAACCCTAGCTTAGGGTTTGAGTTAGAATTAAAAGAAATGTCTGTACTGACACATTTTATAAACTGGCACTGGAATTTTCAGTGTTAAGGGAGGTTGAGTAAAAAGTCTTGTTATTAGCTTTTTTTATTAAAAAGTACTCGCAAGCTTAAGGGTACTGTGAAAGGTTACTGAGTCCCAGTGTATTTTACAGGTTGTTTTGCAAGAACACTCGTAGAACATGTTGGTATGAAGAACCTGAAGTCCTGGGCCAGTGTCAATCGGGGCGCTATTGTTCTTTCCAGGTATGTGCAGTGTGCATCTTCCTGTGCAAGGGAACTGTCCTGCTACCCACACGTCTGCACCTGTATTCCTCAGTTCTAGGGTCTGTTCCCAGAGGCCTGATACTGCTTTCATTACACCAAAGAACAGCAAATGACAGCTTTTTCAGTTTGTCCTTAGGATTTCTTTTACACTGCCATCTTCTGGATATCAAAGTTCACAAATTTGTGGCACTTGTAATACATACTGATTTAACTATTTATGATTTTGACAAAACTATCTTTTTTGTTGTTGTCATTTTTATACTGGGCCCATGTCTAACTCAAAGACATTCTATCACGGAGCTATATCCCCAACTCTTGTGTGTGTGTATGTGTGTTTTAAGGCAGGGTTACTTGCTGGTTATCCAGGCTTGGCTTGCACTTGTGATCCTCTTACCTCAGCCTCCATAAGTGCTAGGATTATATGCATGCAGTATGCAGGTCGTGTCCCAGTGAAAACCTTGAGAGTGCTGTTTTTTAAGTCATGCCCAACTTTACATGCAGTTTTCTTTTTTGTGGACTCCAAAAGGATTACACAATCATTTGTTACAGTAATTTATGTGCTAGTTGTTTGTTTCTAACTTAAAATGAGAGAAAACTGATGATGTGCAAATCGAGGCCCATCTTGTATATTGTTCTCTGGACTTGGTAGCATTGCGTTTGTAGTTTACAGGTCATTAAAATTTCTGCATTTTATGAGCAGATGAAACCCTTCTGTTAAGCACATTCACTTTATAAGAGTTGTGTGTTGATGTGAAGCAATCACTGTTGACTGATGTGTACCGAGGTTTTGGAAAACATACATTAGTATGTTTTGCATTTCTCACCATATTTTACTTGAATTTGCTATGCAATTGAACTGTGTTGTTCCGTCAGTTTAAATATTTCTTCAATATATAATTTGATCTAGTGCATGTATGATCAGAAACAACACACAATAACATTTATATCTCCCAGTAGATCAGTATCTCCAAATATTTGGATACTATCAAAATGATAGTTGTTTATTTCTCATTAAAGTTAGTTCATTTTCCAGTTCATGTTGAACAGTCAGAGTTCATTAACTGAAACATGAAGTTTTTTGTTAGGAATTTCTTTACCAGGCGTTTGAAATGTTAACACCTACTGACACCTTCTTTCATTACACTCAATTAAGTAGAAATTTCAGTGATAAAATTAATTTATAAAGGTGCTCATCAATCAGAGTCCTTGGGCAAATGTCAAAAATAAAGATATCCCAGGTTATTTTGGAGCAGGTGAGGAACATATGAAATACTTGAGGTCCTAAATGGAAATTGAACGAGATATAACTTCACAGTGCAATAATCGTTTTGTTTGGTTTCTAAACATTGTGAGGAGTTTGACTTAGTTGGTAAAGTTCCCTGCTTGTTTATGTTTTACTTAAAACTCATGGGAGTTTGGGGGAAGTTTTTGATGTTGTGTGTTCTCTTCCTGAGTTTTTTTATACCAACTTGAAAAGCAATTTTGGTGGAAAGACAAAAGCAACTTTGTATACTAGCTAAAAAGTAACTCAGGGAAGCAGAATTCTCTAGTATCTAAAAACACTGGCTCTGGATAGACTGCTACATTCCTACCCCACCTCATTGTGTAGCCTTAAGAAAATTAGTGATGTTTTTCCTATATTTCTTGGTTGGAAAATAAGGTTAATAATAATCCTAAAGTTGTCATGAAAACTGTGCATGTAAAATTTCTCTCATTACATCTGACATGCTCGATAAGTATTAACTTGCATTGGTGTTACCCATTATGTAGCTGTATTTATCCAAGTTGTAAAAAATAAAAACTGAGCCACAAAGCTGTTTAAGGAGCACTTTGCTTTTTGACTTTTTTAGCCTTCTGGGTAGCAGGTTGTGCTGTCACTTGGCCCCTGGAAGAATGGAATGCTACCAGGTGCCAGTTGACATGCTGTCTGTTGACATAATGGAAGTTATTAGGACTGGGGACATCTGAAAGTACCAGATGATTTCCTTCTAAATATGATTCAGACATCATCATTTACGTGTGGTCCTGAGGAAGTAGGGAGAGACAGGAAAGTCAGTCCTGATATTATGTAGTCAGGTGACCATGACCAAGTCTTATTTAAAGAGCAATGGGGTGCTCTTCCCGGTCTGCAGGATTCTGTTCACTTTGGTGTTGGAGTGCTCCAGCAAGGTTGTAGAAAGCAGAGGCTGGGATTTTTTGGTTCAATGTTATTGTCATCTCTGGCTTTAGACACAAGACCATTGAGCTTCTGAAATCAACACTGTGAGGCCCGGGAGTGTGGCTCAGTAATCTTAGTATGTATGAGACCCTGGGTTCAAATCCCGTACCAAAACCAAACAAGCCTTTGAGGGAGAAGATGAGTCCTGTTTTTAATTTCATTCTGCAAATCAGGAAACAGTCCTACAGAATTTAAATAGCATCTTCTTGGTTGTGTAGCCATTTAGTAAGGGAGAAATTTCAAACCCAGTCAGTGATTCTTGAAGATAAAACCCACTCCCATCTTCGTCTGCGTGCTGTAGATAGAGCGTTCAGGAAGTGACTATCAGCATTCACGCTCCCCACCTTGCCTCTTCGTGCATGTTCACTTGGGTTGAGTCAGCTCTGTTAACGGGTTTACAGTCTAGACAGGGAAGGAAAGATAAAGAGTGGAGGTAGAATAATTTTAATGCAGGATATAATTAAGTCCTAAGATAAAGGTAATAAAGTCTGCTTACGTAACTCTACCTTCAAGGTTATAAACTTTTTTATATGGTTTTAGAATATTTAGAATATATAGAATATATGGTAGCCCACCCCATTCATCTGGTGAATAAAAAAAAAAAAATACTGCATATAGTTACAGGGCTTGACTCGCAATTAGTGTATTCTTTCATACTGCGGGTACAATAGCATTGTAGGTTATCTAGGGTTTCTATGAAATTTAATTTTTGTTAATTTTTTTCTTCTCTTCCTCAGCCTTCTACAGAGTGCTGACCAAGAGGTTGCAAATAAAGTCAAAGCTGGACTGAAAAGCCTGATTCCCACATTGGAAAAAAACAAAAACACCAGCAAAGGAATAGAAACTCTACTTGAAAAACTGACCTCATAGGTGGGAACAGTTAAGAACAAAATGGAATCATTTTTCCCACTCTCTGTCCATTTTTCCCACTGCAGAAAAGCAGGGTGAGGGGCCACCTCACTGGTAACTTGGGAGCTCTATACATGTGTGTTTTTTCATGAGAACCAATTATATATAAAATTATATAAAATGGTCTTTTCTTTTTTAACCTAGCTATCTCCTTTATTACTGTAATAGACCAAAGTGTGAGACAGTACTGTTGATGGTTCAGCTTGGTGGAACTACATGTGTATGAAGGATTGTTGGATGAATTGGTTACAAGTAAAGACACCTTCAGTGAACAGTAGTCAGAGAAGGTGTCCTGGGGGAGGGGGATCATGAAAGGACCATCCTGCCAAGGGAAGGCAGGATACGGAAAAGAAGAGCCAGGGAGAGTCCTTGGTGGGAGTAGCAAGTGGGAATGAATGGTTTTTAGCTGAACTTCAGAAAGCCTTGGGGGATATCCTGCATTTCTAGCTGTTGCGTGGATCGAGTTCCATGTCAGGTATTTTTTTGGATACCCACTAAAGTAATGTGTATACGTCGAGGAAAATGTGCTGGGTGAATTGGAGGATCACAGTGGGTAGGATCAGGATCACTGGGAACAGTTCTCCTCCCTGGATTTGAGGGTTCCAAGTAAATGGCTCCTCGTGATGAGACACTTCTTAAAATAGTCAAAGCTTTATAGATGGGGCTCAGGGTGGGTAACTCGGTGCTAAAGCACACTTAGCTAGCATGTGTGAGGCTCTGGGTTCCATTTTTAGCACCACAAAAAAAAAAAATGAAAGAGAGCCTATAGAGAGTTTGCATAAACTTGTTACTGTGCAGGAGCTTGCAGGTGGGATATTAGAAGGGTTGGTAGATCAGGTGGGCCCACTTAGCCATGCTGCTTTTGTGACAGATCCTCCGAGCGTTCTGATGTCACTGGACACCTGCTCAGGTCTGTCACTGCACTTGGGCCCGTGAGAGAATTCGCTGGGCCTTTCCTGTCCAGACTGCAGGCTTGCAGGACTCCTCCCAGTGTAAAGCTACTGGGACTGCACCACCTGCTGTCCTACCAGGGCGCACTGAGCTCTTCCCAGAGAGCAAACACCCGAGACGTACTTGTAACTTACCATGCAGGTCTCGGGGTGTGGGATGGGACAGCTGGAGGAATGGGGATAGGGTAAAGAGGTGAAAAGTACTTTCGCCCCTACTTTATCCATTGTCTCGCCCTCTTCAGAACGACTTTCAGTTATTTTCAGCCCTGGTGAATTTCTAAGTATACTATTTTTGTAGCATGTATTTCTAATGTATTGGTTTCAGGTATTTTCTTGACTTTCTATTCCACAAATACAGATCAAAACCTTTACCACCACCGCTTCCCCCTCTTCTCCCTTCCCTGTAGAGCATTTGTGAGGAATCAAAGGGTTTATGTTACTAGACCTAAGCATTCAGTCAGGCAGTGAATTGTTGCATTTTCTCTGCCATTTTATGTCTCCAGGAATCAGTAGTTGTCATACATGTTTTTATTTAGTTAGTTTTCTACATTCTATCTTTAATTTTTCCCAGACTTTGCACCAGATTTGCTTAAATTCTTCTCTTACAGCTCCATTGGCAGCTCCCCAACAGCCATTCCCCTCTTTTCAGCCTGATAAGCCTCCCAGGTTGTTCTATTGTGTCTTCCTGTCCACGTGATTCAGATCCTGACTGGTAGAATTCATTTTTTCTCAACCACTCGTCTCCCATGGGTCATGCGTTTGATGAAGTTACTCACCCAGCCATACGCCTATGTACCTTGTATGTCTTGTGCAAAAGAGTACTGTTGTCAGCTAATCCCAAGGTTCTGTGTTTTAAGTGATTGATAGTTTTAAGAAGGAGCGCAGCCGCAGGCTGAGAGGTGATGTTGCTGGGAAGTTTCTGGTCTCTGGACGCACGGGAAGAGTCTCTTCTCTGTTTACCAGCTTGGGCTTGTGAGCGCAGGGTGGGTCCCAGAGTTGTTGTACCGTCTTGCAGCTGAGAGACGGTAGCCAACATGTGGAAGGTAGGTGAGCAAGAGTGGAAAGAATCTAGAACTTTGATGATATGAGCCACTGTGCAAGCCACCTGAGCTCTACTGAATGTGAGAAACTAGACTCCTCCTTTAGTTTAGGCCATTGTTAATTGGATCTTTGGAAATTTGCAGCCAAAAGCATGCCAAATCATCTCAGTGTAATTTGCATACTCTCCAACTCTTTGAGACCGCACTTGGAAGTCATTTAGCACTCACTTTCTCCTGGAAACACCAATCCTTGCTTTCTGGATGTCCTAAAGAACTGCTGGACCTTGAGCATCATTCTCCTGGGTCTTTCCTTTGTCCTAGGTCAGTTGAGGGTTCTTTTACTCAACTCAGAGAGAAATCATGAATTGGCAAACTACAGCACGGTTCAGCATCCTTGATGCCAGCCAACACTGGTTGCTGGTCCCTAGTTTCTAGCACTCTTTTGAGCTAACCATTCCTAGTGTCTGTAACTCTTTCTCTTAAAGTAACTGCTCTGTCCATGCTACTCAGGATAAAAATTGGTGGTAGATTCACAGGACCTTCCAAGCCCACACTACCCAAGAAATGAATCATAAGGAGATACACAGGAACACTGGAGGAAGGTTTTGTTTGAGCAGATCCTGTGCCACAGCATCGGGGAGAGGTGTGTGAGTACACCAGACAGAGCCTAAACCAGTCTTGGCTAACCTTTAAGACACTAAGTGCCAAACTGCAACTCAAAACCCACTTGCTTACCACAAAGTTCCAACACTGCATTTAAACCTGGATACTGAGGTGTTAGCTTAGTAAAAACAACTCATACATTAACATCTTTTGTCCTAAAAGAAAAACACATTAACAAATATGCCATAGGTTCGCCACTTAAATCATCCAACCCCCTAGAATGTATGAGGAGAGTGCTGCTTCTATAGCAGGCCTGTGATTGGTCCAAGTTCACCCCTGCAAGTGTCTAAATTTGAGCCTGCTGGTTGGTTCAAGCCTTCTGATCTGTGCATATTGATTGGTCCAAACTCAATTCTGCTTGTTTCAAATTCAAGCAAAGCGGACATCTGGACCAGGTGTGGTATGTCCAGGACAGCTGTATCTGTCATGGCGGTGGAGTACAGGAGACACCAGCTGTTTGACAGCTGTCCCATCTCTAAAAAGTGGCATAGCTGAAACTAGGAAATCTTCACGGGGTTGGCTGTGTCAATCATAGCTTATTGGAGCCAGCGAGGTCTGGAATGTTAATAATGGGCCCTCCTCTGCCATGCTTGGTTGGGTTTCCCTACTGCTTCAAAGAGGCTGCAGCAGTTGGCTCTGTGCTGGAAGGCGCTGCTGCCGTCATTCAAGCTGCACCTTTTCTCAGAGCTGCCCTGAGAGAGGCCACAAGGAAACCTGAAGTGCAGTGGGAGGGCCCTGAGGCAAGCTGTCCGAATGGAAGTAGGGAACAGGGTGTGACAGCTGTAGACAGAATGTGCCAAACCACGCCCACCACAGGCGTTAGGGGAGAAGTCCTCCTTCTCTGCCTTCATTTCTTCTATGGAAAGCCTTTTCTGTGATCCTGTACAGTTTTCTGTCCTACCACCTTTTTTAATGGGTCACCACTTTTGAAAAGCTTTCTAGGAGAAAAACATGTGAGGTAAAATTTTAAAGTTGTTCCAAATCTTAAGATCTGTTCTACTCTTTCACATCCAGATACTTAGTTCAGCTGGAACTCGGGTTTAATTTTGCCTCAGAATTTGAAAGCTTTGGTTGATAGTGTCTTTAGTGTGCAAAGTTGCAGTGGAATTCCAGTGCTGGCATTGTTCTCAGTCTTTATGTGTGGGTGTTGGGCAGGGATACAGTTCTTTTTAAACTTACAGTGCTTCAAATCCCCGGCCTTCTCATGTTTCAGGGTCACGTGCGTTGGTACGTGTCACGTACATCACGTACGTCTCCTTTCCATTCTTCATGCCGGGCACTTGGTGAGCCATTGTCATCAGAAAAGCCAAGCCCTTTCTGTTCAGGGAGACGGTTATGTCCTGTTTCTCCAATTTTTCACTCCCTTCCTCCCCTGTTTTGTCTTCATGGAATTCCTGTTACTATATTCAGATTTGAAATGCTGCTTAGAGTCTCTGTATTTTTTTTTTCCTCTTCTGTTTTTGTTTCACTTTCTGAGTAAGGTATGTTCTCTGCCAGACTTCCAGTGAAATGCCTTTTTCTTATTTCTTAAGTGCACTGTGTCCTGTCTCTGGGAATGTTCTATTTTATCGGGAGTGTTGTATTTTATTGAGGATGTTGTATTTTACTGGGGGTGTTGTGTTCTGTGGTGGTTCTGTTTTACTTTGCCTTTTTTCTGTTGTGCTGTTTGTAGTGGTCTTGGTGTCCGAGGCTTGCCTGGAGATCTGTTTGACTTACATGTTGCAGATATTTGAAATTGATGAGAAAGACTGCAGGCTTTTCTTGCTCTCCTCTGCTCTCTGTACCGTGTGGTGTGGATCCTGCTGTTTCACCGGGGTCCTCCAGATGTCAGTGTCTGTAGGCTCTTTCTCTGAAGCCGTTCGGTGCCCTCTGGAGAGCAGTCCTCCTGCACCCAGCATTCCAGTTGCTCAGTGCTCTGTGTGTAAGTTTTAATGAACCAGCTCGCTTTCCATACAGGTCCTCTCCCTCATGCTCTCACACGCGGTCTCCCAATGTTGAGCAGCTGAACCAGTGTAAGTCCACAAAATGCACCTCCAGCTCTCTGCCCCGGGTTCACCCTAGCCTTCCCCAGAAAGGGGCACCTCTCGTTGCTGGGATTTCCTGGCACACCCTGGTGGGAACTGCCCTGCTCCTCTGCCTGCATTGGACCTTCAGCACTCTCTGGTCTCTGCGGCTTCTTGCTCTTTCAGGTGTTCATTGCTGTTCTCACCCGTGGATGGCTTCTCTCTTGTTTACTTCATTGCTAATGAATTTTTGCCATTTTTATCCTTTATCCTGTACTACTCTTTCTGCAGGCACAGAGAAAAATACACAATGCACCATTTTTAAGTGGCAGTCTACAAATGGCTTTATACAAAATAAAACAACAGACCTGGTTCCCTGGAGGGCTTATTTTCTGTGGGAGAGCTTACTAGATTTTAACATTTCCTTAATTTGAAAAGTTAACTTATTGCAGTTTATAATTTTCGTCAACTCTACTTTCTGCA